AGACCTCACATGCCTTCCTCCTCTCCTCTCCTCCTCCACCACCACCTCTTCCTCCTTTCTTTCTCTCTCTCTCCTCTCTCTCTTCTCTTTCTCTCACTCTCTCACTCATTCTTTCCCTCCCCCTTCCCTCTTTTTCTTTCTCTCTCCACCTCCCTCCCTGTCTCTCTTTCTTTCTCTCCTCCCTCCCTCCCTCTTTCTCTGTCTCTCCCCCTCTCTCTCTCCCCTCCCCTCTCTCCTCCCTCTCTCTCTCTTTCTTTTTTTTCCCAGGTTGCACATGGTCAGGCTAATGCTGCTGGAACGGCTACTGCAGACCCTTCCCCAGCTGAGGACGTTGGCGGGGTCCGGGCCATCCCCTACATGCAGGTGGGTCTGAGTGATTCTTCCTCCTGCCATCTTTGTGATGTGCACGGGGTGGGTTTGCCAGGTCTTTTCCCTAGCTGTGGTTCCCTTCTCTGTTCCTCCCTCTTTTTTCTTGGACTGGTACTCAAAAGACCAGGTCCAGTTTCTCTCCTAACGCTACCTGGTAATCATAAGCACAGCCTGGGAATATGGAAGGTCCTCTCCGTACAGCGCTCTCTTGCTGACCCTGTTTTTGCGGTTGAACACTAGAGTGTATTATTTGAATGCTTTTTAGTGGCACTTGCCCTCTGGAATGAACTGCCCCCGGAGATTCGTTTGATCCCTGACCTGCGTACCTTTCGCCGTGCCCTTAAACTCTACTGTTCAACAGGCTGGCTGGCTTAAGAACGGATTTTATGTGTGTTTTAGTTTTTTAATATAGGGCCAAATCATTTAATATGTTTTAAACTGCTTTTTAAAATTTTATATATATGTGTTTTAGTATGCTGTGCACCGCCCTGAGTCCCCGGGAGAAGGGCGGTATATAAAAATGTAAAAAATAAATAGATTAGATAGATTAGATAGAAGATAGAAGATAGATAGATAGATAGATAGATAGATAGGTAGGTAGTTAGGTAGGTAGGTAGGTAGGTAGGTAGGTAGGTAAAAAGGTAGGTAATAGATAGATAGGTAGATAGGTAGATAGATAGGTAGATAGATAGTAGGTAATAGATAGATAGATAGATAGATAGATAATAGATAGATAGATAGATAGATAGATCATAGATAGATAGGTAGATAGTAGGTAGGTAGATAGAGATAGATAGATAGAGAGATAGATAGATAGATAGATAGATAGATAGATAGATAGGTAGGTAGGTTAGGTAGGTAGGTAGGTAGGTAGGTAGGTAGGTAGATAGATAGATAGATAGATAGATAGATAGATAGATAGATAGATAGATAGATAGATAGATAGAGTTATTTGGAGGGCCGTGGGTGGGTGGGAGAGACTTCTGTTCACCAAGCCTGGAAGACTCTACACCTCCTCGGCCATTGTCTCTGACTTTGTCCCTCGATGTGCCTTGTGCCCAGGTGATCCTGATGCTGACTACTGACCTTGATGGCGATGAAGAAAAAGACAAAGGGGCACTGGATAACCTTCTCGCCCAGTTGATTGCTGAGCTCTGCATGGAGAAGAAGGTAACACACACACACATACACACACACTCTCTTACTGCATGACACCCCTCCAGGATGAGACGTGAACGTAGTTGGAAAATACTATAAGAGGCAGCGGCTCCTACCTGAAACCCTAAGCTCTCAGTCAGAATAGAGCCTCTCTAGGAGTGTCTGGAGGCTGGGGACAGCAAAAAACGTCACTTCCTGTCTAACCGGGAGTTGGGAAATGGGCCGTTTCAGGCCTCCGGAGGACCTCCAAGGGAGTGGGGAAGGCTGTTTTCGCCCTCCCCAGATGCATAGAGAAGATCTGGAGCCAGGTGAGAAAGAAAAACGGGCCTTCCCCACCCCCAGGCCCTTGGGAGGCAGGAAACAGCCTGTTTCCCTACTTCTGGTGGGTCCAGAAGGCCCAAAAATCAGCTGGCCGGCACATGCATGCGCGCCAGAGCTGAGCTGGTATGCCCACTGATATGGCTATGTGTGCCACCTGTGGCACACATGCCATAGGTTCGCCATCATGAGTCTAGACTCTTGTTAAAAACATCCACTGATGGAGAGCCCACAATTTTCAAAGGCAAGCTTTCCCACTGGTTAACTATCCTCACTGTTAGAAAGTTTCTCCTTAATTCCAGGTCGCTTCTCTCCTTGGCTACTTTCCATCCTAAATCAAACCTGTGACTCAGGATGGGAACCAATCAAGGAGAGAATCAATAACCTTAATAAGCATCAATAATCATCCTAAGTGACGTCCCAGTTCCTGGAGGTTGTGCGGATCTGGATGGGGAGGAACAGGCTCAAGCTCAACCCTTCCAAGACTGAGTGGCTGTGATTCCCGGCATCCTGATATAGTCAGTTGACTCCATCACTGACTATCGGGGGCCCCACAGAAAGGGCTCGCAATCTGGGAGTCCTCCTGAATACGCAGCTGTCCTTGGAGGAACATCTGATGACTGTAGCCAGGGGGACCTTTTGTCAGGTTCGCCTGATTCGCCAGTTGCGGCCCTTTCTTGATCGGGATTCCCGGTGCACAGTCACTCACGCCCTCGTCACCTCTCGCCTTGACTACTGCAACGCTCTCTACATGGGGCTCCCTTTGAGGAGTACCCGGAGGCTCCAACTGGTCCAGAATGCGGCCGCGCGGGTAGTGACGGGAGCAGCCTGGCGCTCCCATGTAACACCGCTCCTGCGCGAGCTGCACTGGCTCCCAGTGGTCTTCCGGGTGCGCTTCAAGGTGCTGGTTACCACCTTTAAAGCGCTCCATGGCATAGGACCTAGTTATCTTCGAGACCGCCTGCTACTGCCGACGGCCTCCCATCGACCTGTGCGCTCCCACAGAGAGGGCCTCCTTGGGGTGCCATCAGCCAAACAATGTAGGCTGGTGACCCCCAGGGGGAGAGCCTTCTCTGTGGGGGCACCTACCCTCTGGAATCAGCTGCCCCCTGAGATAAGGAGAATCCAAGATCTCGGTGCCTTCCGCCGTGCCCTTAAAACCTTCTTTTTCCAGCAAGACGGGCTGGCTTAACATATTTTTTAACATATTTTTAATTTTTAATTGGTTTGTTATCTTAAACTGGGGCCAAATTAATATATATCCTTTTAATTGTTTTTTAATGTTTGTATTGTATGTTTTTATCTGACTGTACACCGCCCTGAGTCTTTCAAGAGAAGGTGCGGTATATAAATTTGAAATAAAATAAAATAAATAAATAAATAAATCAGACCTATGGGGAAAATGCCACTTTGCAGGGCCAGGCTGAGAAGCCCTTTGACCTGCTGGCCACTAGAGGGCAGCAGTAGCTCGAGGGAGAACCAGGCGACCAGCCGGCTGGTAAACTCCGTCTGGCTGCTGGTCAGGTTCATTGCCTTTGGCTCCTGGATGAGTTGGCTATCTATCTATCTATCTATCTATCTATCTATCTATCTATCTATCTATCTATCTATCTATCTATCTATCCGTATATATTTAATTTGTTTACTGCCTGCCTTGTCGCGAAATGAGTCGGATCTGTAGCAAGGGGTGGCATTCACGTACCTTCCCTCCCGGTTCGCAAATGTGTCTTCTGCGCATGCGCGGAGTCTCAGAAAACGTGGAAAACGGGATGTCGTGACGTCCGTGTGGGTGGGTGGGGGGATCCCGCAGTCGCCCCCTACCGATTTCGCCTGAACCAGATAGAACTGGCTGAATACCACCACTGATCCGTAGGCCGTAGTGCCAACTTTGGAAAAATAACACAAAGTATTTACAGTCAAGGGATATCCAAGATAGGTCTGTGCCTGTGCATCGATCATAATTCGGGGGGATCAGGGCAGTGGTGAAATGTAAAATTTGTTACTACCGGTTCTGTGGGCGTGGCTTGGTGGTGGTGGGGTAATATGACTGAGTGGGCATAGCCAACTTTTTTTTTTTTAACTTTTAAAACCATTTTTTAAAGTATTTTTTTGTAAAAAAAAAAAAAATGATTTAAAAAGCCTCTGACGATCCCAGCTGACTTGTCTGATCGGCAGAGGCTTTCTTTTTATTTTTAAAGCCTCTGACGATCCCAGATGACCTGCCTGATCGGCAGAGGCTTTTTTTACTTTTAAAAGCATTTTTTCGGCCGAAGAGGTGGTAGAAAAAATGCTTTTAAAAGCCTCTGATGATCCCAGCTGAGCCGCGCAATCATCAGAGGCTTTTTTTTTTTTTTTACTTTTAAAAGCATTTTTTTCGGCCAAAGAGGTTGTAGAAAAAATGCTTTTAAAAATTAAAAAAAAAGCCCCTGATGATCGCGCGGCTCAGCTGGGCATGGGGGGGGGCGGCAGGGATTTTTGCTACCGGTTCTCCGAACCACCCGCCTCCATCGCTACCGGATCGGGTGATCCGGTCCGAACTGGGAGCATTTCGCCCCTGGATCAGGGGCATACAGGTGCTTTTTCTCCTCCGTTTTGTGTTTGGCAAGGGTTCAGACTACAGGTAGCCCTCGAGTTACGACCACAAGGGAGCCCAACCTGTCTGTTGCGACGTGAAGCAAACCCTTCTTTAAGTGAGTTTGCCCCCATTTTGCGACTTTTCCTGCTGCAGCTGTTAAGTGAATCATTATATTTATTACATTAAGTAGAACATGGTTTGTTAAGTAAATCTGTCTTCCCCCACCAACTTTTGCTTGTCAGGAGCCGGGGTGGTGGTGTTGGACTAGATGACCTACAAGGTCCCTTCCAACTCTGTTAATCTGAGGTGACGAAAGATGATAACGTGACCCTTGATTCACTGTCATAAACGTGAAGCAATCACCAAGCATCTGAATTTTGATCAAGTGGCCGCAGGGGGGAGATGCTGCTGCAGTGATGTGTGAAAAAAGGTCGCAGCTTAATTTTTTTTCCTCAGTGCAAATTGTCACTTTGAACGGTCGCGAAATGCCCTGTTGTAAGTCGAGGATTACCTGTCGCCGGGCAACCACGAATCCCTTCCCTTAGCCCTTTCCTCACTCTTTCCTTTCTCTCCCTTGCAGGACGTGTCCAAGAAAAATGAACGCTCTCCCCTCAACGAAGTCCACCTGGTTATCATGAGGCTCTTGAGTGTCTTCATGTCCCGGACAAAATCTGGATCAAAATCTTCCATTTGTGAGGTACGTGAGGAGTCTGGCCTGGTTAGGGTGTGTGTGTGTGTGTGTGTGCCCCACATATGTGTCTGTGCGGGATCCATGTCAGGCAGAAAGGAAAGGGCCGTTTTATTTTTATTTATTTTATTATTCATATTTCTATGCTGCCCACTCTCCGAGGACTCTGGGCGGCTTACAACAATCGACAGTATACTAAATAGCATATTGCCCCCCAACAATCCGGGTCCTCATTTTACCCGCCTCGGAAGGATGGAAGGCTGAGTCAACCTTGAGCCGGTGAGATTTGATCCACTGATCTGCTGAACTAGCAGTCAGCTGAAGTAGCTGCAGTACTGGCACCCTAACCACTGCGCCACCTTGGCTCGGTTTTCTTCCCCCTTCCCAATTCGGCCTCCTCGTCACCTGTTCTGACCCACCTCCCCAAACACGACAAACCCTCTGAAGTTTTTTTTTTTTTTTAATTTGATTTTATATGCCGCCCTTCTCCGGAGACTCAGGGCGGCTTACAAGGCGTTAAGCAATAGCCTTCATACTTTTGTATATTTATACAAAGTCAGCTTATTGCCCCCACAATCTGGGTCCTCATTTTACCTACCTTAGAAAGGATGGAAGGCTGAGTCGACCTTGAGCCTGGGGAGAATTGAACTCGCAGTAATTGCAGGCAGCTGGATGTTAAATGCTGCCTTAGGAGGCATTAGCCTCCTACACCACTCAGGCTTTTATTATTCCTTTTATTAGGAGCGCCGGCAGCCCCGGCAAAAAGTTTCTCTCTCACCGCAGGCTAAGAAGTCCGTCCGTCCGGAAGATGAATAGTTGTCTGCCACATCTATTTATCTCCGCCCCCTGCCTTTTATCCCCAGAGCTAGGGTGTGGCTTCCATAGCAGTGGTGGCTCTTCTGTCCCAAGGACCGGCCCATAGATTTCCACTGCTCTCCTCTCCTCTGCCTTCTGCGCATCTACAGTCAGGCACTGGACCCAGCTGTTCCTCCTCTTCCTCATCAGCCACCTCCAGACCTGGGGGCTGTTGACTCTCCATATGAGGGCTGACGGACAGCCTAGGCTCTGCCTTCGTCTCTCTCTCTCTGCCGGCTCCATTCCCTCTTCCCCCTTGGAGCTCTCAGGTTGCCTTGATGCTGACCCTGACTCCCATGCCCCCTCCTCATTTGGCTGTTGGAGGGGCTGTCAGCCGACAGGCCACAACACAGACATTCCTGATTGCAAACCCTTTGGGCTCTGGGGTTTTGGACGCCGGGCAACCAGGCGTCTTTGCCCACCAAACCCTCGGCGGTTAAAAGAAAGGGGGGGGGGAAAAACCGTGGGTGGGGAAGGAGGGAGGATTTGCAAATGGGATTGTCGGGAGGCCGCGATGCCCGCGCTATCTGCCGTGTTTCGAAACCGCTAAGAGGATTCCGTTGCTAAACGGTGCAGCGCTAAGGCGGCATTTCAGAACGGAAGCTGGCAAAAGGCGCATGTCGCGGAAAGCATATTAATAACAAAAGCGCAGAGGTTAAAAATGGAACCGGGGAGGCATTGAATTTTAATGAGCTTATGGGCTGTGGGCTTTGTTTGGATTTAGAAAGGCTTTCTCTAATGGTTTTATTTACACTTGGGGCTCACCAGCCTCTCTTTCCCCCCCAACCACCACCCCTTTTCCTCCCAAGTGAAGAAGAGGGAGGGCTTTTCAAAACCTGTCAAAGTGCAGATGACCAGTGGGGGCGAGAGAGCCGGGGCGGCTCCTGGCGGCTCTTCAAAAGCCCCGCTGCCTCCCCTTTTCCATCGCGCAACTGGCCGAATTCCAGAGGAACGGAGGAAGAGGACTGTTCAGCTCCTACGTTTGAAGGGGAGGCAAATGAAAGGGGCTGGAGCCCCTCTCTCCTCCTCCTCTTAATCCTCTGCTGGGTGCCCACCGGCATGTGTGTCGAGGGGAGATTAGACTCCAGAACTGATTGCCGTTTTGCCTCCCTCCTTCCTCCTGCCTCTTTTAAACTAACCCTCCTTCCGATGCGTAGAGGGCTCTTGTCGCTGCTCTTTCAAAAGGATATCAAAGGCTAGAAACTGTCCCAGCCCCAGAAGAAGTGGGGTTGCGTTCCCCTCTAGGTCCCCAAGGGCTGTTCTGTGGCTTCTCTTGGGCCCATCTGGAGACTGCTGGACCAGACGCAAAGCCCCCCCCCCTCCCTCCAATCCTTGGGACTCCCCTTCATTCTCCCTCCTGCTTGCTTGGACTTGGTGGGGCTGCAGGCCATGGAGACCCCAAGGTGGTCTGGATGATTGTTGGCCGTGCCAGGCTGAGAGGACCATCCCTTGCCCTTACTTTGCAGAAGGTCCCAAAAGTTGAAAGCTACCTATAGCATTAGCATAGCAATAGCACTTATATACCGCTTCATGGTGCTTTTTACAGCCTTCTCAAGGCTGAGTCCAAGGCTGAGTCCACCTTGAGCCGGTCAGGATCGAACTTCTGACTGTGGGCAGAGTTAGCCTGCAATACTGTATTCTAACCACTGGGAGGGAGGGAGGGAGGGAGGGAGGAGGGAGGGAGGGAGGGAAGGAAGGAAGGAAGGAAGGAAGGAAGGAAGGAAGGAAGGAAGGAAGGAAGGAAGGAAGGAAGATAGCAATAGCCCTTAGACTTATATACCGCTTCACAGTGCTTTGCAGCCCTCTCTAAGCAGTTTACAGAGTCAGCCTCTTGCCCCCAACAATCTGGGTCCTCGTTTTACCCACCTCGGAAGGACGGAAGGCTGAGTCCACCTTGAGCCAGTCAGGATCGAACTGCTGGCTGTGGGCAGAGTTAGCCTGCAATGCTCTATTCTAACCATAGGGAGGGAGGGTGGGAGGGAAGGAAAGGAGGGAGGAAGGAAGGAAGGAAGGAAGGAAGGAAGGAAGGAAGGAAGGAAGGAAGGAAGGACTGACTTATATACAGTTTCATAGTGCTTTGCAGGCCTCTCTAAGCAGTTTACAGAGTCAGCCTCTTTTCCCCCAACGATCTGGGTCCCCGTTTTACGCACTCGGAAGGACGGAAGGCTGAGTTAACCTTGAGCCAGTGAAGATCGAACTGCTGGCAGTTGGCAGAATTAACCTGCAAAGCTGCATTCTAACCACTGTGCCCCCCCCCACAGCTCTTAATAGCAATAGCACTTAGACTTCACAGTGCTTTTACAGCCCTCTCTAAGCGGTTGACAGAGTCAGCCTATTGCCCCCAACGATCTGGGCCCTCATTTTACCGACTTCGAAAGGACGGAAGGCTGAGTCAACCTTCAGCTGTTGAGAACTCAAAACTGCCAAATTGCAGGCAGCCGGCAATCAGCAGAAGTAGCCTGCAGGACTGCGTCACCGAGGATCTATCATTGGGAAACGCTGGGCTTCTGTTGGTATACTTGCATGCGATGATCGAACCCTCACCCCCGGTCCCCTTCTCCCTGAGGGAGATGGCATTGGTGCCAGTGAGGATGTCCCCCCCTGGCCTCCTTGGCTCCGGGTCAGACTTCCACTGGTGTGGCAGAGGCTTTGGACAGAGAAGGGTTTTTTTCCTTGCCCGAGCTGTCGGAAGCTCTTGAGAAGGAAGGAGATGGAAGCTCCCCGAGGCTGGATCCTGGCTGCCTTCTCTTTAGTCTTTAGTGAATGAAATCGGGATTTTTTTTTTAATACATATTTTTAAAAATCTTTTTGGGGTAGGTGTAGAGATGGGAAGAAGGCCTGGGGAAAAAAACCCGGAAAAATTGGGGGGAGGGGGGAACTGGGTTGTTTTTTCCCTCCAATTTTTCTGTGGTTTTTTTTTCCCCCATGCCTTCCCATCTGTGTGTGTGTGTGTAATAACGATATTTCACAGCAGCGAGTTTTTTTAAAAAATACCCCAGCATAAAACGATGACTAAATGAGCACGCGAGAAAGAGATGCTGGCAATTGAATTCATCACCCAAATCCCGTCCTCTTTCGCTAAAGCTCAGGAGCCCAGCGGGCTCGACCTCCATCCCTCTCATATCAGCATCTCACTCCCCCTAGAAGCTCAGAACGGTTGAACTGGAGACTTGGGCTACTGGGTGCTGAGCCTACGATTTGAGTTTCCCGCGGCTGGGCCGTTTGGTCCGCCAAGGGACGAGCGACGGGGTCCCTCCATGTTCTCCGTGTCTTCCCGCAGTCGTCCTCCCTGATTTCGAGTGCCACCGCGGCGGCTTTGCTGAGCTCCGGAGCCGTGGACTATTGCCTTCACGTCCTGAAGTCCCTGTTGGACTACTGGAAGAACCAGCAGAACGACGAGGAGCCTGTGCCCGCCAGCCAGCTCCTGAAGCCCCACACCACCACCTCTCCTCCCGACATGAGTCCTTTCTTTCTGCGACAGTATGTCAAGGTGAGATTGCGGTGGCAAAAGGCCTCGGTGCCTCTTTGTTTGTTGTTTCTCAACCTCGGCCTCTTTTAAGATGTGTGGACTACAACTCCCAGAATCCCCCAGCCGGCATTCAGCACCAGACTAATTCATTCATGGAGTGGGGGGTGGCTAACGTTCCCTTCCCAGGATCTGATTTAAAAAAAAAAAAAAAACACCTCTTAAAGGAGCGGCCAGAACTTCAGATTTTGAAGAAGTAGGAACCCGGTAGCAATCGCAATAGCCCTTAGACTTATATAGCGCTTCACAGTGCTTTGCAGCCCTCTCTAAGCAGTTTACAGAGTCAGCCTCTTGCCCCCCAAACAATCTGGGTCCTCGTTTTACCCACCTCGGAAGGACGGAAGGCTGAGTCCACCTTGAGCCGGTCAGGATCAAACTCCTGACTGTGGGCAGAGTTAGCCTGCAATACTGTATTCTAACCACTGGGAGGGAGGGAGGGAGGGAGGGAGGGAAGGAAGGAAGGAAGGAAGGAAGGAAGGAAGGAAAGGAAGGAAGGAAGGAAGGAATAGCACTTAGACTTATATACCGCTTCACAGTGCTTTTACAGCCCTCTCTAAGCGGTTTACAGAGTCAGCCTCTTGCCCCCCAAACAATCTGGGTCCTCATTTTACCCACCTCGGAAGGACGGAAGTCTGAGTCAACCTTGAGCTGGTTTAAAGGTGGGTTCAATAGTGTCATCCTTAAAACAGTATCGCCCCGGGGGTGATCTTGGGATCGTAGGGTTAGTTGTGGAAGAAGCTGAATTAAGAATGGAGAATCTTCCGAACATGGCTGGAGAAAAACATTGTATTGTCCTAGCTGTGAAAGTTTTTATTATTTTTTTTTTTAATTGAAAAGACAGTGCCATGTCAGGATAACAATGCAAATAAGGCAGAGCCAGAGAGAAATCAATGATAAATCTTTTTTTTTTTTTTGAAATATCTTTATTAAATATTTACAGTAAAATTAACACACAATAATGATTGGAAAACAATATAAGAAGTGAAATGTAGGAACACATAAACACAAGACTAAAACGAAACAACGAACATGATTAACCGAGAGTTAAGCTCACTCTCCAATTAATATTAACTAATATCATCCTAACCAAACATTTCAATACAAGAAGAAATCAATGATAAATCTTAACATACAAGCTAATAATTATAACTGTACTATGTTAACAGTAATTACAATAATACAACCAAAAAATTTAAGAAAACTTAACTAAATTTCTACTCACATTAGCTTCTTTACAAATTTTTCCATATTATATCCATAGCTTTATATATCTTTGTTGTCCACACTAACAATTATTGACATTCATAAACTTCCCTTTCATTTCCACCTCTTGTCTCTATCCGTTCATAAAATTTATTCCATGTCCTTTAATATTTCGAGTCTTCTTTATCTTTAATTTTTAAAGTTAATCTGTGCATGTCAGCACAATCCCAAATTTTCCTAATTATGTCATCATCCAGTGGGGTGTTCACATTTTTTCAATATTTAGCATATGTAATTCTAGCGGCCGTCAATATATGTAACACTAAGTTGCTTTGTCAGGTATATTTCCGACAATATACCTAAAAGGCACGGTTTCTGGTTTGAATAGGAGTGAGGGGTGACCAGATAGGCAGTCGCGATTGTGTATTTGGAGCAAATAGCTGCCTTTGTTCTCATTATTACCGCGATCTGTGTTTGTTTTTGCTGTGGGGTAAAGGCACGGAACATCAAAAAACCGGTGGAAAGGGTTTTTTTTCTTGGAAGAATATGTGAATTTTAAGTTGATTTTTTGTTTGTGAACGTGCCTGAGTCGAAGCGGCAAAACGCATTTCTGGGCAGTGCCTTCCAACGGATGTTAGCTTTTTCTTTTTTTTTTAAGGGAAATTACGTAAGCTGAATTGAGAACTATAAACTTTTATTGTTGGTCCTTTTGAGTGCAATAATAAGCTGTCTCAGCTTCAATTGTGGATTGCTGTCCCTTAATCTTCATTACAGACCCTCCTGGCAAAAGTGGATAATTAAAACTTATTAAAAAATGGCGACCCAACAATCTTTAGAAATGCAACAAGTTCCTGTGGCCTTAACTAAAGTTGGTGAAAAGATATCAGGACTGTCAGATAGTATGGATAATATGATATTGGAAATTAAAAGAATGAAGCAAGAAATGAATGAAAATTTTGCAAAGCAAACAGTAGAAATGACAATAATTAAAGATGAAATTGAGCCGATTCATATACATGATGCAAAGATAGATCGGCAAATTGGAGAAATCTTTTTTAAAAATGAACAACAAGATAAAAAAAATTGTCTTTTGGAAGAAGAAGCTCAGTTATCATTTCTAACCAATTATGAATTTTCTCCCAGTAGCTCCTTGCTTTCAGCTGTGAAAGTTAAAATTAAGATCACCTTTATTGTCTTTTTTTTTTTTTACTTTGAGCACACTGGCCCACATTAAAAATGCAATTCTTTTGCCTGCTTTCAAAGCACAAGTAGTCCTCCACTTACAACAGTTGGTTTAGTGACTGCTCAAAGTTACGACGGCACTGGAAAAAAAAGAGACTTCGGATTATTTTTCACAGTTGGAGACCTTTCCAGCATCCTCGGGGATCACGTGACCCAAATTCAGAGGCTTGGCAAACTTGTTCATGTTTATGACCGTCGCAGTGTCCCAGGGTTTACGTCCTTCTGACAATCAAAAGTCAGTGGAGAAGCCAGATTCACTTAATAAACTGGGTTACTAACTCATCAACTTTGGTGATTCACTTAACAACTGAGGCAAGAAAGGTCGTAAAAGGGGGCAAAACTCACTTAACAACTGTCTCAACAGAAATCTTGGTCTCAATTGTCGTAAGTCGAGGACTACCTGTATTTATCTATCCATACCCATACATAACATACATTAGGAGAGGAGAGAAGAGAAGAGAGGAGAGAAGAAGAGAAGAGAAGAGAAGAGAAGAGAAGAGAAGAGAAGAGAAGAAAATAATGGAATGGAATGGAATGGAATGATATAGAATATAGAATATAGAATATAGAATATAGCCATGATGGCGAACCTATGGCACGCGTGCCCGAAGTGACACGCAGAGCCATGTCACCTGGCACATGCAACGTCGCCCGCTCCTCTTCTGGGTTTCTGCCGCGCATACGCACACAACAATCAGCTGTTTGTGCATACAGCAGTGCCGGAAACCGGAAGAGCTGGTCTTCCATTTTGTGGTGTGAGCATGCACGCCAGCCAGCTGCTCGGCACAGGCACATGCGCGGCAGTAACCAGAAGACTTGCTGGTGCGCGCATGCCCCCTGGGCAGCTCCTCTTCCTGGTCGTGACTCTGACAAGCACGCACACACGTGAAGAGCTCCCTTCTTGGCACTTGGTGTCGTCCCGTCTCGTGTGTCCCCACCCCACCCCCCCGTGTTAGCGCGCTCCCTTTTGGTGCCGAAAAGGTTCGCCATCACTGGAATATAGAATATAGAATAGAATAGAATATAGAAATAACAATAGAATATGGAATGGAATGGAATGGAATGGAATGGAATGGAATGGAATAACGGAAGAGAACTTGGAAGTCTTCTAGTCCAACCCCCTGCTTAGGCAAGAAACCCTGTACCATCTCAGACAAATGGTTATCCAATCTCTTCTTAAAAACTTCCAGTGTTTATATACATATGCTATATACATACATATATACACGTACACCCACACATAATATGCATATACACACATACTGTACACATACTGTACATACATCCATACATCCATACATCCATACATATTAAGTGTTTTTCTATCGAAGCACCTGGTCTACCCCAATATGGGAGGGGGCACACTGCTTCCCTTTCGCCTTTCAGCTCCAGTCCAGGAGCCCTGAAGCAGTCGGAGTTACGACAAACCATTTTATACCAAATTTCTATTTCACTGATAAAGAAATAAAGGGAGACTCGTATAGATCTATTTCAAGCTATTTAGCTCTCATCAGCTAGCCAATACCCTTACCATACCAAGTTCGAATCCAAGTAAGGGTATGGCTAGCTAATGAGAGCTAAATAGCTTGAAATAGATTTATACAAGTCTCCCTTTATTTCTTTATCAGCAAATATAAATTTTATATATTGTTAAGGATATTGGTGTTGTGTTACCAACCAGCAGAGTAAATGCACAAGGAAACGTTGCTGAGAGCAATGAATAAGAGATGTGCAAACTGATTTATCAAAAGCTTACTTTATAGTGGAGAAAACAGTCTCATAGTCTTTAAACAAATTCCAAGTCTTTGCCAGTAAAATCAGTCCAGTAGTTACAGAATCTTCTTACTCAACAAACAGTAGTTGGTTAGAATAACAAACTCACTCTGGTTCACAAACCACGATGGTAGCAGATTCCATCAAACGATGATTACAGATAGCAACTCCTCTCAATAGTAGCATATCATACTCTGGTAGCATATCACATCAGCTTCATCATCAAACTGAATACTTTACAATACCTTGCTTAAATACTCTCACAACCAGTCATTACCTAATTACAGCATGACTCAGCATTACAATGAATACCTTTAAAGTAACATAATACATTTACAGATTAAAGTTACAGTACACATATATTGCCTGGACAACTTTGTTAGGCTCAAACCATATCCTAACACACACGCACACCAGGCAATCCTGTGGGACCCTTCATCGCAGCACCCTTTCCTCTTGCTGTGGGGCAGGGCCTGCTTCACACGAACGGAGAGTCTTCGGGGGGGGAAGATGACAGGGTTGTGAGCCTGTCGAAACGTTGCTATAAGAAAAACTTTTAAGGTACTGGTAGGATTTTAGCTAAGGTTTTAAAGGACCTTGCAGAGTGCTCTGTAGGGATTTTTAGAAGATTTAAAGCTAGGATTTTAACCAGAATCTTAAACATTTAAACTAACGTATTTAACATGAACACCCGAGATTTTAATTTTTTGCATATATATATATATATATATAAGACACTTCCAATTTTATGTGGGAGAAGACCCAAATAACCAAAGACCTATATATATATATATATATTATAATATATTATATATATATATATATAATATTATATATATATATATATATAATAATATATATATATATATATATATTATATATATATGTTATATATATATATATATATGTGTGTGTGTATATATATATATGTATGTGTGTGTGTGTGTGTGTGTATATATATATATATATGTTATATATATATGTTATATATATATATATATATATATGTATGTATGTATGTATGTATGTATGTATGTATGTATGTATGTATGTCGCGGAGAGGATGTAGCGTCCCAGGCAATCCTGTGGGACCCTTCATCGCAGCACCCTTTCCTCTTGCTGTGGGGCAGGGCCTGTTTTACACGAACGGAGAGTCTTCGGGGGGGTCTCGCAAGCAAGCATTTTGACACAGCCTGCTTGTGATTTTGGCCAGCCCCCCCCCCTCTCCCCCCCCCAAAAAAGCAGATCTTGTCCTACTTTAACCACCACGGAGCCTGTCTTCATTCCTGGCATCTGGCAGTGCAGTTTCGGTGTGTTCTTTTTTTTTTTTCCCCTGCACTCACGGTTCACAAAGGAATAAGCCGAATTAAATGTTCGGATGCTGTTTTCTGGAAGAATAGAGCCTGCTCAAATTCTTATGGCCTGCAGTGACGGTTTGCAATTTTTAATCCCTTTTATTCCTTTCTTTCAAAGGGGCTTGCTGCGTTCACATTTCTCCTATTTTTCTCTCTCGCGCGCTCTCCCCTCCCTTCCCAGCTGTAGGAAGAGAGCGATATTAAGGATTGGTGAGGATGTGGCATAGCTTATGTTCCTCTTTTTATCTTTTTTTTAAAACCCGGGGCAACATCCCAGCTTGTTACTCTATTTTTTTTTTTATTGGGTTTCCTGTCATTTAACATTCATCTCCACAGCAGAAAGTAAAACAAGCAAAATCTCAGCCGAAGCGTTGCGAAGGAAGAAGGAAGGACAAAAAAATAAATTAAAAAGGAACCACGCGACTTCAAAAGTCTCCTCTTGGGTGCTTTTGTCTTTCCTGGGGTTGCTGAGAGTTAATAGTGTGCAAAAAGCTCTGGTTGTGTGTCCCCACGAACATGTTTTTAAAAGCTTTTTTTTTTTTTTTAAAGAAAAGAAATATACAAAAACGTCCTATTAAAGATGATTCTTCCCTCCATCCTTTTAAGTCAGGGGTTTCCACCTTGGTGACTTTAAGACTAGTGGATTGAAGGCGCCTTGGTGGCACAGCGGACTAAAGTGCTGTTAAGTAGCACTTAGCTGTCAGCTGCCTGCAATTACTGCGAGTTCAAATCTCCCCAGGCTCAAGGTTGACTCAGCCTTCCATCCTTCCGAGGTAGGTAAAATGAGGAACCTGGATTGTGGGGGAAATAAGCTGACTTTGTATAAAAAAGAACACCGCTTAGGGGGGGCCAAAAGCTCTACTAAGCAGGTATATACAAAAGTATGAAGGCTATTGCTTAACGCATTGTAAACCGCCCTGAGTCTCCGGAGAAGGGCGGCATATAAATCGAACCAATAAATAAATAAATAAATTTCAAACTCCCAGAATTCTGGGAGTTGAAGTCCATAAGTCTTAAAGCTGGCTGGGGAATTCTGGGAGTTGAAGTCCATAAGTCTTAAAGCTGGCTGGGGAATTCTGGGAGTTGAAGTCCACAAGTCTCAAAGCGGCCAAACTGGCTAGAGAATTCTGGGAGTTAAAGTCCATAAGTCTTAAAGCTGGCTGGGGAATTCTGGGAATTGAAGTCTTAAAGCTGGCTGGGGAATTCTGGGAATTGAAGTCTTAAAGCTGGCTGGGGAATTCTGGGAATTGAAGTCCATAAGTCTTAAAATCCTCAAGGTTGGATACCCCTGTTCTGATTTTTAGCTCATATTTGGTTGGCTATGTAGTTTGGGTCTGGAGCCCAGTTGTCATTCTTCAGGAACAATCAACATGATTTGTAGCCGGCATATATAGACAGTCCAAAACTACGTTTAAATCTAGGTTTATAAGCGTCGAGCATCAGGTTTAAATCTAGGTTTATAAGCATCTAAGAATTATTTATTGGCCAAGTGTGATTGGACACACAAGGAATTTGTCTTCGGTGCATAACCTCTCGGTGTACATAAAAAATACATTCATCAAGAATCATAACATACATTACTTAGTGATAGTCGTGTAGGATACTAAATAAGCAATCAACATAAATCATACTAGGAAACGAAATAAAAAAATATAAATCATAAAGATACAAGAAACAAGGTTATAGTCATAAGTAGCAAAGGAGATAGGCAATAGGAAGGATGAGAATAGTAATACAGTCTTAGTAAATAGTTTTCTTAGTAAATAGGGATGCGGTGGCTCAGTGGCTAAAACGCTGAGCTTGTCAATCGAAAGGTCAACAGTTCAAATCCCTGGTGCCGTGTAACGGGGTGAGCTCCCGTTGCTTGTCCCAGCTTCTGCCAACCTAGCAGTTCGAAAGCACGTTAAAAAAAAATGCAAGTAGAAAAAATAGGGACCACTTTTGGTGGGAAGGTAACAGCGTTCCGTGCGCCTTTGGTGTTGAGTCATGGCGGCCACATGACCACGGAGACGTCTTCGGACAGTGCTGGCTCTTAGGCTTTGAAACAGAGATGAGCATCGCCCCCTAGAGTCAGGAACGACTAGCACAAATGTGCAAGGGGAACCTTCACCTTTAAATAGTTCCACAGCGTTGTGGGAATTAGTTGTTTAACTGAGTGATGGCATGCGGGGGAAAAAACTGTCCTTGTGTCTAGTTGTTCCAGTGTGCAATCTAAGTTTATAAGCATCTACTCTGCTGCTGCTCTTCTGGTTTTGAGCTCTTTCAAGAGCAGGGAATTGTAGCTTTGAAGGACAACTTCTCCAAAGAGTCTGGAAGAAACCTGGAGGGGGGTGGAATTTGCAAGGTTGGTTAAGCTCTCTTTTCTTGTTGCCCCCCACCCCAGGGTCACGCGGCCGACGTCTTCGAGGCCTACACTCAGCTTCTGACAGAGATGGTCCTGCGGCTGCCCTATCAGATCAAAAAGATCGCCGACACCAACTCCCGCATTCCGCCCCCCGTCTTCGATCATTCGTGGTTCTACTTCTTGTCCGAGGTTCGTCTTTTATATTGACCTACTCATGGGTGGGCTCCAGGAGCTGTTAAATCAGGGGTGAAATGTTCCCGGTTTAGCCCGGTAGTGATGATGGCTGGTTTGGAGAACTGGTAACGATGGCAGCTTGAAGCTCCGCCCACTTGCCCGGTCGTCGTTCCTGGTTAAAACCAGGAAGTAACCTGTTTTTTACCCTCTGCGGAGGCACAGAAGGGTTTGCGCATTTGCAGAGGGTCGGCTTGTACATGTGATGCGCGCGCACATTAAATGCAGTGCCCTCTCCGCGGAGTCTGTGTGCAGGTTTGATGTTCAGGCTCTCCTGTCCTAAAGCCACTTTACTTTGCTTTAGGGGGGGAGTGGGGTTCAAGGCTTAAGGTGGGACGTACCATCTGGGTGGCTGGCAGGTGCGGAAATCATTAACCTAAGTCCAGGGAAGAAAAAGCCTCCCTCTTTCTCTCACGTCTCCATAAAGACATAATAGCAGTCTTCCAATATCTCAGGGGCTTCCACAAAGAAGAGGGAGTCAAGCTATTCTCCAAAGCATCCAGAAGGCAGGCCAAGAAGCAATGGGTGGAAACTGATCAAGGAGAGTTTTTAAGAAGATGTTGGATAACCATTTGTCTGGAGTGGTGTAGAGTTTCCTGCCTAAGCAGAGGGTTGGACTAGAAGACCTCCAAGGTCCCTTCCAACTCGGTTATTCTATTCTATTCTAAAGGCAGGTCTAGGACAACTCGGCACAGCCAATTCACCATGGGACAATTCGCCATAGCCAACTCGCCACAGGACACAGCAAGAAAGGATGCCAAAGGAGGGACAAAATGAAATGTGAATGACAAAAATGAAAATATTTTTTAAATTATTGTAAAGAATCAAACTGAATTGTTGAATTCTCCCAAGACGAGTTGTCCCACGGCAAGTTGGCCATGGTAGAGTTGACCATGGTGAGTTGACCATAGTAGAGTTGGCCGTGGTGAGTTGGCCATGGTAGACTTTGCCATGGTGAGTTGGCCACGATCAGTTGGCTGTGGTAGAGTTGCCCATGATGAAATGCCCATGGTAGAATTGGCCACAGTGAGTTGGCTGTGGTAGAGTTGACCATGGTGAGTTGACCATGGTAGACTTTGCCATGGCAAGTTGGCCACGGTCAGTTAGCTGTGGTAGAGTTGCCCATGGTGAGTTGCCCATGGTAGAGTTGATCATGGCAGAGTTGACCATAGTGTGTTGACCAAGGTAGAGTTGCTCATGCTAGAGTTGCCCATGGTAGAGTTGGCCATGGTAGAGTTGACCATGGTGAGTTGACCATAGTAGAGTTGGCCGTGGTGAGTTGGCCATGGTAGACTTTGCCATGGTGAGTTGGCCACGATCAGTTGGCTGTGTGTAGAGTTGCCCATGATGAAATGCCCATGGTAGAATTGGCCACAGTGAGTTGGCTGTGGTAGAGTTGACCATGATGAGTTGACCATGGTAGACTTTGCCATGGCAAATTGGCCACGGTCAGTTAGCTGTGGTAGAGTTGCCCATGGTGAGTTGCCCATGGTAGAGTTGATCATGGCAGAGTTGACCATAGTGTGTTGACCATGGTAGAGTTGCTCATGCTAGAGTTGCCCATGGTAGAGTTGTCCATGGTAGAGTTGACTATGGTGTGTTGCCCATGGTAGAGTTGCCCATGGTAGAGTTGACCATGGTGAGTTGCCCATGGTAGACTTGATCATGGTAGAGTTGACCATGGTGTGTTGACCATGGTAGAGTTGCTCATGGTAGAGTTGCCCATGGTAGAGTTGACTATGGTGTGTTGCCCATGGTAGAGTTGACCATGGTGAGTTGCCCATGGTGTGTTGACCATGGTAGAGTTGCCCATGATGACTTGCCATGGTAGAGTTGACCATGGTAGAGTTGACCATGGTGAGTTGCCCATGGTAGAGTTGACCTACCATGGTTGGTAGAGTTGCCCATGTATAGAGTTGACCATGGTGAGTTGACCATGGTAGAGATGGCCGTGGGTAGAGTTGGCCATGGTGAGTTGACCACGGCGAGATGTCCATGGCAAGTTGGCCGTGGTGAGTTGGCCATGGTAGTGTTTGTCATGGTGAGTTGGCCATAGTAGAGTTGGCTATAGAGTTGACCATGGTGAGTTGGCCATGGTGAGTTGGCCATGGTGCATTGGCCATGGCGAGTTGTCCCATGGCGAGTTGGCTGTGGCGAGTTGTCTCCTTCTGCCATCAAGGCACCTTTCCCCAGAAAGCAGACTTTTGGAAAGCTCTCACGCCATCTCTCCTTCCTTCCAGTACCTGATGATCCAGCAGACCCCCTACGTGCGGCGTCAGGTGCGCAAACTCCTCCTCTTCATCTGCGGCTCCAAGGAGAAGTACCGCCAGCTGCGGGACCTGCACACCCTCGATTCCCACGTCCGGGGGATCAAGAAGCTGCTGGAGGAGCAAGGCATTTTCCTGAGGGCCAGCGTGGTCATCGCCAGCTCCGGCTCCGCCCTGCAGTACGACACCCTTATCAGTTTGGTAAGCGGGGAAACAGTGTGTGTGTGTGTGTGTGTGTGGTGTGTGTGCCTTCGGAGTTTGGCTGAAGCATCTTGAGGAGGAATTCTGCAACCTTCGGCCCATCCTCTCTGGTGTGAATAAACCCCTGGGTTTCTTATAGGCCTTTGGGCCCCCAATCTCTCCTTGCTTGGAGATTTTCTCCCACTCCTCCTGCCATCTGCACCGTGGGATATTTAAGGTGGGGCCCAGCCTCTCCCAGGGCAGTCCAAGTCTTAGAGTTTGATGTGAAAGAGGAAAGAGGTATTTTTAACTTTTCCAGAGGAAAGAGATTGGGGATTTTCTGGGCTGAGGAGAAGCTAGAACTCCCTTAAAGATGCAACCATGAGCTCAAACCTCAAGACTGAGAAAACCGGGGCTCCCCAGAGTTCTGGATTCATGTATGGCAGGCGTTGTAAGTCAGAAACATCTGGACTTGGCATGAAATTATACAGCGAAGCCCAGTTTTCATATCAGGATTAAAGTTTCCTCGGTGCCATTTGTTGAAACAAACATCTGGACTTTGCAGATGTTCCACCTAAAAACTTTTTTTCCTCCTTCTCTCCTCCTCCTCCTCCTCCTCCTCCTCCATTCCTTCTCCTCTTCCTCCTCCTCCTTTCCTCTTCTATCCCTCCTCCTCCTTCCCTCCTCCTTCCCCTCCTCCATCCCTCCTCCTTTCCTCCTCTATCCCTCCTCCTCTTCCTCCTCCTCCTCTCCACCTCCTCCTCCATCCCTCTTCCTCCCCTCCTCCTCCTTTCCTCCTCCATCCCTCCACCTCCTCCCCTTCTCCTTCTTCTCCATCCCTCCTCCATTCCTCCTCCTCCATCCCTCTTCCTCCTCCTTCTTCCCTCCTTCTTATCATCCTTCCCTCCTCCTCCTCCCTTGTACCCCTTCCAGATGGAGCACCTGAAGGCCTGTGCCGAAATTGCCACCCAGCGCACGGTCAACTGGCAAAAATTCTGCATCAAAGACGATTGTAAGTCCCTTAGGCAGCTTTGAAAAGAACGGTGGCCCTGCTCCAGAGGTCCAGCGGAAGCCCTGTGCTGTTCTTTTGGCTCCTGGGTCGGGCGGGGGGCTGATGGGAAGGGGGCCAGGAAGGGCAGAAGATTCCCACTTCCTGGGCAGTTGCACCCTAAACTTCTGCTCGTAGAACCTAAGGAGCCTGAAGCTGCCCCACTTCAGCACTTTCGCAGTGGGCTTGTTCCTGCCATAACGGCTGGCAGAAAGTAAATTTTAAGGGGTGCTATGTTTGTGAACATGGAAGTAAAACTGACTTTCCCCTTCTCTTCTTCCTCCTCCTCCTCCTTTTCTTCTTCTAGCCGTCCTCTATTTCCTCCTGCAAGTCAGCTTCCTGGTCGATGAGGGTGTCTCACCGGTCCTCCTCCAGCTACTCTCCTGCGCCCTCTGTGGCAGCAAGGTTCTCTCTGGGTCGGCTTCGGCCGGGTCTTCAGGCACTTCAGCCCCCGGAGGGTCCAGCTCAGGCCAGCCATCCGGGCAGAGCAAATCCTCCACCAAGAAGAGCAAGAAGGAAGACAAGGAGAAGGAGCGAGAGGGTGAGGCGGGGAGGCCTCCTCTGGGCTGGCACTTGCCACGTGACCTGCGGTCCTCCCGAAGGTTGGCAGTGCCGTCGCTGAGCCCTCTCAATTCTCTCCCAGGAGACGGCTCCTCGGGCAGCCAGGAAGACCAGCTCTGCACCGCTCTGGTGAACCAGCTGAACAAATTTGCCGACAAAGAGACGCTGATTCAGTTCCTGCGCTGCTTCCTGCTGGAATCCAACTCATCGTCCGTGCGTTGGCAGGCTCACTGTCTCACTCTGCACATCTACCGGTGAGTAGCCCAGCCCTGGGCAAGCCCAAGCTCCCACCCGTCCAGGTCCCGGAGCGTTCTTCATCCCCCTTGGGCTGAGAAGAGAGAAACGGGATGTTTGCTTATTTATTTTAAGACCCGTGGCTTTTTAAAAAATGCCCGTAGAACATGGAGATCGAAGGACAAAAGAGGGAGAATCCGATAAAGCTGGGGTGTCCAAGCTTGGCCGTTTTGAGATGTCTGGACTTCAACTCCCAGAATTCCCTAGTCAGCTTGGCCGCTTTAAGACTTATGGACTTCAGCTCCCAGAATTCCCTAGTCATCTTGGCCGCTTTAAGACTTGTGGACTTCAACTCCCAGAATTCCCTAGTCATCTTGGCCGCTTTTAAGACTTGTGGGCTTCAACTCCCAGAATTCCCTAGTCATCTTGGCCGCTTTTAAGACTTGTGGGCTTCAACTCCCAGAATTCCCTAGTCATCTTGGCCGCTTTAAGATTTGTGGACTTCAACTCCCAGAATTCCCTAATCAGCTTGGCCACTTTAAGATTTGTGGACTTCAACTCCCAGAATTCCCTAGTCAGCTTGGCTCTTTAAGACTTGTGGACTTCCGCTCTCAGAATTCCCCAGCCATCAGACTTGAAGTCCACAAGTCTTAAAAGTGGCCAAGCTTGGCCACCTTTGGCAATAAAGTCTAGTCATATAAACAAAGCCTAGTCATAAATTCAAAGAGCAGCCACTGAGTGCAGACATTTTCCCTTTAGGAACTCCAACAAGTCCCAGCAAGAGCTGCTGCTGGACCTGATGTGGTCGATCTGGCCAGAGCTGCCGGCTTACGGGCGGAAGGCAGCCCAGTTTGTGGACCTCCTGGGCTACTTCTCTCTGAAAACCCAACAGACGGAGAAAAAGGTAAGAGCTTTGGAACGGTGTCTTCTCCACCCTCCTGATTCCCAGCACCCGGGACTGTTTCTGCAGGCGGGGCTGGGTGCTCCTGCCCCAAGAGCCATCCGAAGAGGAGGGGGACACTTCTGTGGGTTTCACAGCCGCCCTTGTGAGGTAGGCTAGGTCAAAAGAGCAAAGAGTCCAGCTGGTGAAGCCAGAGATTGGGTGTCCATCTTGCTTGCCCTGTTTTGTAGGGGAGAGTGACTCACCTGCCTGGGTGCTAAAACCTGAGAAGAAAATGGTTACACCCCCCCCCCTTTCTTACTGGAACCCCAACTTCTCTAAGGAAGCCACCTCAAGTCACTTGGGGACCATATTCTGTAGTTCACCTGAGTTTGCTTTATGGACCCTCCTGGTTTCACAGACTGGGTTCCTCTGATTTTTGTGTTGGGCTCTGTTTCAGTTCAAGGAATACTCCCAGAAGGCTGTGGAGATCCTCAGGATGCAGAACCACATCCTCACCAATCACCCCAACTCCAACATCTACAAGTGAGGGTTGCTTGGCGCGTTCAGAGTGGGGGGAGGGAAGCCGGAAGGGACAGGCGGGGTGATGGGGGTGCTTCTTGTCTGGAGGTGAGAGGGGACACTTGCCTGGCTGCCGAAATTAACTTTGCACTGCCTGGAAATTCATCATCATCTTCTTTTAATGACCCCATAATAATTCCTCACGGGGTGAAGTCTTGGGCAGCTTAATGGAGCTGAGTGTTTTACTGGCCGGATGCCCTTCCTGTTGCCAGTGCTGAGTTTTGTTCAGCAGATATATTCTCACTGTGCCCAGAGACAGAGAGAAAGAAATATCTGCCTCTACCTAGGATCCTGATTGTGAGAGCTCCACCTCTAGGCCAACGCACCGCTCAGTTTGCAGCGCCCGGAAATGGTTCCAAATGAATTCCAAGCAGCCTGTTTTTTTTTTGGGGTGTGACCGAGAGGAGACCATCGTGGGCTATCTTACTTAACTGTGACTGGGTGGGCGTGGCCAACTATTTTTTTTTTAACTTTTCAAAGCTTTTTTTTGTAATGCTTTGAAAAGCCTCTGCCAATCAGGCAACTCAGCTGGGATCGTCAGAGACTTTTCAAAGCATTTTTTTTTAACCACCTCTTCGGCCAAGAGGTTGCAGAAAAAAATGCTTTGAAAAGCCTCTGACGATCCCAGCTGAGCCACGCGATCATCAGAGGCTTTTTTTTTTTTTTTTTTACTTTTAAAAGCATTTTTTTGTTGGAAGATGTTGTAGAAAAACTGCTTTTAAAAGTAAAAAATAAAAAGCCTCTGATGATCGTGTGGCTCAGCTGGGCATTGGGGGGGGGGGCAGGGATTTTTGCTACCGGTTCTCCGAACCACCCGCCTCCATCGCTACCGGATCGGGCAATCCGGTCCGAACCGGGAGCATTTCACCCCTGGGCCTGCCCCATAGAAGGAAAAAACTGCAGCCACCTGCGACTTTGGCCTGAGCAGAATAAACTCAACTGCCTCCCTCTTCCCCTCATTCCAGCACCCTCTCCGGCCTGGTGGAGTTTGACGGCTACTACTTAGAGAGCGACCCCTGTCTCGTTTGCAACAACCCGGAAGTGCCTTTCTGCGTAAGTGCCTCCCCCCGCCCCCCTGTGCTTTCCAGCCCCGCCAGGCCTCGGCCTCTTCCAACCCATCTCTCTCTCTCTCTCTTTTTTTTCTCCCAGTACATCAAGCTGTCCTCCATCAAGGTGGACACCCGTTACACAACCACCCAGCAAGTGGTCAAGCTCATCGGCAGCCACACCATCAGCAAAGTGACGGTCAAGATTGGAGACCTGAAGCGCACCAAGATGGTCCGGACCATCAACCTCTACTACAACAACCGGACCGTGCAGGCCATCGTGGAGCTGAAGAACAAGTAAGCATATGCACAATCACCAGAGGCGGCTCGGAATCTCTGGCCAGAGAGCAGTTTTAGGCTATCCTTGACTCCTTCTCTAAAGATAGAAATATAGATAGATAATAGATAATAGATAATGGATAGTTATAGATAGAAATAGAAAGAAAGGAAATAGAAAGGAGATAGGAAGGAAGGAAGGAAGAAAAGAAAGAAAGAAAGAAAGAAAGAAAGAAAGAAAGAAAGAAAGAAAGAAAGAAAGAAAGAAAGAAAGA